TGACTTTGGGCAGATCATATGTGAGGATTCTAAGACCTAGTTAAACATCACAACTCTGGACTGTTTTCTCTCCAATAAAATAAGACTTTTGGTCTACCAGACTAATGGCCATTCTGAGTCCCATATAGGAAGAAGCTCAATTCTGGGAGGGACCTTAGGTCTTGGGAGGCATAGCCTCATTCCTTTTCCTTGCCCACCCCTTTCTAGGACCTCCACCTTCGAGCTCGAGCGCTTCTGCAGAGCAAAGAACATCAGTCACTGGTCAGCTCATCCTTGAGGAGAGTAACGTGGCCTTCACTGTCCATCATGATCTGGTTCCAACCTACCTTTATAATAATAATTCCACTGTTTTTCCTCCATCTACCTTAGAGCCTAGACAAATGGGACTACTCATCCTTCCCCCAATACACCCTGTGATGCTCTGCTTCCAGGCTTTGTTGTCACTGTTCTCACCACTGGAATATCTTCTACTGGTCAAAGTCCTACTCATCCTTCCAAGTCTAAGCAATGACTGCCTCTTCCAAGAAGTCATCCCAAATCCTTCTGTCATCTGTCTAGCTAGTTGGCTATCATCTTTGTATCTGTCTCTCTACTTAAGACAAATGATTTTGTATTTTTCTTTAAATGATCGAAGGACAAGTTACTGCAGTTGTTAGGTATAAGATCTAATTAAATCAAGATACAACCACTTCACCCCCTCCTCTTTGTGTCCCTCTGAAGGGACTATGTAGAAACTCAGTGGTCTGCAGGTTTGTCCTGGGATTTCAGATTCCTAAAGTCTGTTCTTGAAGCATACTGAGACATAAAACACAAGAGTGGAGATACTATATAAAACTTTTAAAATGAGGGATGGCCACTTACATACAAGGAGATGCCTACTTACATAGAAGACTAGTCAGCTGTTTATTTTCTATGGTAATCAGAGTCTGGAATAAATATATATGTGTGTATATATCTGCTCATATTCACGGGTTTACTCATTTGCATATAGGCACATCTGCTTCTCTAATTTTCTTTTTTAAACTACAGGGTTCTTTTCCTATTCTAAATATATGCATTAGTGAAAATGTGCAAAGGAAATAAAAAGTAAAAATAAAAGTAAAGTTAAAGTAGAAAGTAAGTCATTCATAACCCCAAAATAACCAGTATTAACATTTTGTTGTATTTCTTGTGAATAGTTTTCCTGCACATATTTACTCTATATGATTTTTAAAGGAATTGGGATAAAATGTTTATATACTTCTGTAACCTACTTTTTTGATTTACATATGATTAGCATTTTGGTACTCTTTTAAATATAATTCCCAAACACTGGAAAAAATTGTTTTATGATATCAACTTACAGATGTACCAAAATGTATTTAATCATCCCCTCATTGTTGGATACTCCTTTTTATTATAAACAATATTTCAGTGAACATCCTTACATATCTGAACACATGTCTGACTATTAGGCCCATTCTAGAAGTGGAATTACTGGGTCATTTTTCTTTTTTAAAGATTTCATTTTTTAAAGTAATCTCTACACCCGACTCGGGGCTCGAACTCATAATCCCAAGATCAAGAGTCACATGCTCTACCGACTGAGCCAGCCAGGCACCCCATTCTGGGTCATCTTTAAGTGTCTTGATATACACCATCAAACTGTTTTCTAGAATTTCCATTTGGAAACATCTCCTCCAAAATACTTTAGCTTCATCTTAGCAATAAAAATTTTGAAATCGTAAGTTTGATGGATCCGTTCCCTTTTTTGTAACACCCACTATAACTATAAAGATGGCCATTCCAATAAAAAATGATCAGCCAGTGGTAGTCCCTTTACTACCCATTGGTGGTATTATACCCCATTTTTGGGAAATACTGTTTTATTTGAACAGTTTCTCTATATTATAGTTGTGTATATTTCTTCCACTTAATTATAAGCTTTCTAAGGTTAGGCACCATGGTTTATTTGGTGCTTCTTACAGTGCTGAAGCTCAATAAATATTTGTTCTCCCTTTGGTTTGGTTTGGTTTGGTAATGAGATTGTGAGGAATAGGAATCAATCTATATACTTAATATAAATGATGTCTTCAAGATCAGGATTATAAGGGATATTTATATGGTAAAGAGAGTTGCTCCAATTTAAATACTCTGCCATCATTATTTGAACTTGAGTTTTGAGGTGTTTAGAGTGGAAAACAGTAAATCATTCACATACTTTCTAGCTGTCTTTCTTGGGGTAAATAATACATTTGCAAGTTTAAGAATTAGTCTTGGGGCTTTAAGCCAGAGTAATACTATTTAGCTCACGTAGAATTCATCCCACCGTAATGACCTCATAAAATAAGAACACTTTTCCAGACCTAGCAAGCACAGAGGGAAATAGAGGGTCATTGATTAGTAAGTATCGGTTAGTAGATGAAATGGCTTAGCTACAGTCCATGTATCTTTACCATCCCTGGAAAACCTCAGAAACAGAGGAACTAATATTTACTATGTATATAATATTCTAGGGACTTTATATATGTCTTTTCTCTGGATTTCCTATGTAGCTGCCACGTGAGGAGAGGGTAAAATCATACTACTAGGGAACAGGTGTTTCTGCCTCTCCTTAATCCAAACCTGCCTTCTTCCCAGAACCGCAATGACTGTTCCTGAGAAGGGTCCAAGACCTAATCAGATCCAGAGAGCTGGACAGGAAGATGCAGAAATTCATGGATGATCTTCTGGCCAACCAAAAAACTAAATGACCAAAGGCAGGTGTGAACAAGATACCAGAATAAAAGAGTATAATTGGAGAAGAGAGAATAACTCTAATAAAGAAGAGAAGGGCACCCTAACACTTTAGTTACCTGATAGAAATGAAGACATTTATCAAGGCCTGGCCAGTAATGTTCTCCTCCTTAGTTCCACCTACCTCCTTCTTTCTGAACCATTCTTTTAAATGTAGAGTCCTTAGCCCATAACTCGGGATTGTTTAATTCATCAGTGCATAAAAAAACTTGTTCTTCAGAGACTGAAAATGAACAATACCGCTTCTTTAGCTACTAAGGATCCAACGGAGACAAGAACTAGAGGAAGTAAAAAGAAAATACATCGAGGGGGGCGCCTGGGTGGTTCAGTGTCTGACTTTGGCTCAGGTCATGATCTTGGGATTGTAAAGTGAGCCTAGCATCAGTCTCCCCGCTCAGTGGGGAGTCTGCTTCTCCCTCTCCCTCAACCCCTCACGCTGCTTTCTCTTTTGGTCTCAAATAAATAAATAAATAAAATCTTAAAAACAAAATACACCCTAGCATCAGAAGACCTGGGTTGAGGCCTGACTCTCTCAGGGTCTGAGTCACCTTCGGCCTCTTATTCAACCCCTCTAACTCATGGTTTCCTTAAGTCAACCACATACACGTATTTTCTGAGCAACTACTGTGTACCAGGCATCGCCCTGGGCACTAGGGCTACAGCAATGGAAAAAAACCAGAGGAGATCCTCTTTTAATGGCATTTCTGTTCTGAGATTGCTTAGATTGGATAAGTAATCAAACACTGTAACTTCAAATAGTGAGCAGTGCTATGGAAGAAATGGAACAAATGATAAAGACAAATTGGAAAGAGGGTTCCTCTGCAGAGAGTGAAGGGAAGGTCTCCCTGAGGCAGAAACATCTGAGCTGAGATCTGAATGTACTAGAAGGAGAAAGACAGAAGGGCCAGCAAACCCTGAGTCGGGACCACATTTGGGGCTGTGTGACCATCAAGGAAAATGACCCTGTGTTGTGGTTGTACTGGACCAATAGCTTTGACACAGGACTTCTGGTGATCCTAGGATTTCCCTGGCCATGTATCAGGGGTGAGGGGGCCGGGGGTGGAGGTTCGACTAATGCCAGGCCCACAACACCCTGCCCAACACACACTCCTTTTCTATTTTCTTTCTTTTCATTTCTTCTTTTCTTTTTTTTTTTCCAATATTTTGTTTATTTATTTGACACAGAGAGAGAGAGAGGGAACACAAGCAGGGAAAGTGGGAGAGGGAGAAGCAGGCTTCCCACTGAGGCCAGATGTGGGGCTCAATCCCAGGACCCTGAAATCATGACCCAAGCCGAAGGCAGACACCTAACCGACTGAGCCACCCAGACGACCCACGCACTCCTTTTTCATCTGAAACACACACCAGGGTGTTGTTGAAGCTTTTGCCTGAAGGACAGATGCCATGATCAAAAATCCTTGGTCTCAGAAGTCCTTCTTCACTCTGTAACCGTCCAACTCTATGAAACTTTGCCATACAACCTCTGTGATCCCTACAGAAGGGTTGACTTCATCCACTAGACAGACAGGGAATGCTGGTTCCAGGGACCTGGCTCTCCTCTCACCAGAACAACCCAACACTTTTCCCTACAATGATAGATTGTAACCTCGGATGCCCTCCAAGCCTGTCCCAGGTAGCCAAGGACATACATCTCTTCCTCCTCCTAACACATTACACTGACTTCCTCTTTTCCCCCCACCCCCGGCCAAATGAGACACTCTGCCCTACACAGGAGAGCTTTGTGGAGAGAGCTGAGGAGTGGTTCTAGCTTTTTCCAACCTGTAAAATGCAAAGTTGGCCAGCTGCCTCTCTTCTTAACTCTGAAACTCCTATCTCTCCTTGTCTCTAGAGAACCACCCGGCAGCTCTCAAATAAGTCTCTACTGTCCTGGGGTTTGGAGGAAAGAGCTATGCCGAACTTGAAATCATCTTCTGGTAACATGCATCTAATTAGCTCTTTGACTGACAAGAGGAAGCAGAGGCCAAGAGGGATTTAAACAATCCCTTTCTCGCGTATTTCAAAACAAGCAAAGAACCAGACAGGGAAATGGAAAGAGAGTAAAGAGACAAAGCTTAGGGGACATTTGAAGAAGGGGGTGAGTAAGAAAGAGAGGGGGAGGTGAGGGAGAGAATATAAAATGACCAAGATATCAATCCTTCCTTCCCTCGATGTTCCCTCTGCTCCCCATCTCCACCCTCTCATGCTCTCTCCCAGAGAGAACTTACTTGGAGGTCGATGATTTCTCTTTCTGATTCCATCTTGCTGCCCTCAAGCGCCCGCCTTCACACGCACTGCTGCTGCTAACTGACTGCGTGGGCTACTCCAAGCTCTGCTGTCTGAGTCTCTCCTGCTTTTTGGGTGGGAGAGAGCACACAGCTGGCAAGACAGACCTGCTATTCATCCATGTGCTGTGGGCTGCCTGTCCTGACCTCAGCCCCTGCAGGAAGTGTACACATGCATATCCTTGGCGTGTGTGTGTGCGCGCACATGCGTGTGCACTCCAGGGGCTGGTGGGGGCACACTGATAGGCAGCCTTTTGAGTTGGTAGTGACAGCATCATTTTCTTGAGTGGCGCCAATGCCCCTCCAGCCCCAGAGGGGCTGACGGAGCTCACTCAGCCTGCTTTGAGTTAGTAGCTGTACTTACTGGCATAGAAACCCTGTGGATTTATCAAGGAAATTGAAAAACAGCCTGAGGACGCGGTCTGACTTCGCATTGGTGGAACTGAGTAAGGTCCCCAGTCCACAGGGTTGGGTGGACTCCAGCATATTCTCAAGATTGAGGCTTAGTGACCTCTTCCTCTTGGTCCCCTTGTCCCTAGAAGTTAAAAAGAAAAGATTGTAGTTTACTTATTAGGCTCCAAAACATAAGCCTTTTGCTACAAAGTGAGTAAGCAATGAACTTTTATTGACAGGTTATTTGACGTCCTCATTTTCTCCCTTCATCGGGCAGGAAGAGAGCAGGAAAAAGTTATACCTTCAAATTCTGTTTAGGCAAGTGGTTGCATTTTTCTCTACTTTTTAAAATAAAGCTACCGGGAGTGAGTCTTTTTTTGGGAAAGCTTTTCTTTCTCTTGTTTACCTTAGAGCCTAAAACTCTTCTGGCTGGTCCCTGAACCTAGTTTTAGACACTAGCTTGTGGACGTGTGGGAGTGGGTATGTCTGCGAGCACACAGGACGGGGACAGTGTTAAATGGGAATTATCCAATTCAGAGTTTAAGGAAACGAGGAGAGTAACAGTCACAAATTTACTCTCACCACACTTAAATGTGCTGCCCAGGGTGTGTGTGTGGGTGTGGGGCGGGCATTTGTTTGTTTCTATTAAATGATGTAATGTCCCCACCACGCTAGACATGTGGTGAGTGGGAGGGTCGGTCAACGGGATGAGGATCACATTTCAGTCTAGTCTAATAAACGCAGTTGGATTTAATTTAAACAGTAAACAGTCCAGTTTAAAAAGAATGCGTCACCTTTCCAATTTCCAATCCTCTCCCCCAAAGATGGCATCTAGGGTGCACAGGGGAAAGGTTATGATTTATATATACTTGGAGGTGGAGGGGTGATGGCTCTTCGAGGTACCTTGGAGCCTCTGCTAATTTCTGCTCTGGAGCTGCTGGGTGGGCTCTGGGCTGCCCCCTGAGTTGGGGACTGCTGGGGAGAGACGGAGCCTGGTCCTGGGTCTGTTCCTGGGCCTCCTGCTGCTGTCTGTGGTCCGATAACTCATGGTCCATTCTCTCTCTGCTCTTCCAGACCCCGTGGGCTCCCTTGTTGACTTTGCCCTGTCTCAGCTCTCGTGGTGATGTGGTCATCCGGAGACCTACTATGGCTCACATGTGCTCCTGTCCCAGCGGTACCAGCTCAGTGGCCCGCCCCCTCTAAGATGATCCCTTCTAAACTCTCCCACCAGACGCTTGGCTACATGGGAACTGAGAGATACGGACAGACACTGGGGAGAGGCAAGCTCAGCCCCATTTCTGGTAGAGAATTTGTTTTGATGTGGCGGCTCCAGCTAGTGCAAGGGCAGCCTTTAAGGTGATCTCCTTCTGGACTCCAAAGCAGGAGTGACAGATGGAGCCAACTCTCTTCTCAGCATTCCTCCAAAGGTCTATAGGTAATAAGCATCTCTCCCATCCCCCAAAACTACACCAGGGGATAAGTGCTATTCTAAGCGCTTTAACACACTTAGTTAACTAACTTACTTAGTTCCCATAACAATTCTGCAAGGTAGCTAATATTACTACACTTGTTTTACAGATGCGGAAACAGAAGCATGAAGAGGTGAAGTTGCCTGAGGTTGAACCGAGATTTGAACCCAGGCAATTAGGATTCAGAGACTATGCTCTTATCCATGATTTTGGCTCAGAGCAGAGAGATGGAGACACATGTCTGAATACCTGCTTTCTCTTTCTCTACTTTAGTTCTTCCCATGATTCCCATAATCTAGAATCAGAAAAGGCGGATTTTGTCTTCTTTCTCTTCCTGTTTGGTTGGGACATGCTTTATATGGAGCTCTATTAAAATAATTCTAAGAGTAAATAAAGAAATTTAGAAAATCCCCATTCTCAGCAAAACCTGACAAAATTCTCATTCTTGACAAAACACAACCAAAATATCATCTTGCTGGAAAAATCTCATTTTGGGTGTCAGACGCAAAATATCAACATTCCCGTTGTGACGATCCCAATCATTCTTTAGATAATATGGGTGCATCTGGCTAAATAGAGAGGAAATCAGAACAAGAAAATGCCAAACAGAAAAGCATCTGAACATATTCCTTTCCCACCCCCCAACTTCTATTGATTTCAAAAGGAAATAGCTTGATTTTGGTTTGGTGATACCTTTCCAGATTTGTACCTTTCCTAGCCTCATAAGCATCATTTGGAAGGAAATTTGGATTTGGAAAGTGGTTTATCTACTGTGACTCTGGACCAGGGGTCAGCAAACTTTTTCTGTATAAGAGCCAGAGAGCAAATATTTTTTAGCCTTGGAGTCCAAATGGTTTCTGTTGCAACTACTCAGCTCTGCTATTGTAGCATGAAAGCAGCCATAGACAGTATATAAACAAATGAGTATGGCTGTGTTCCAATAAAACTTTATCTACAAAAACAGATAGTGGGCCAGATTTGGCCCTACAGGTCATAGTCTGCTGACTTCTGTTCTAGAATATAAATGGAAAGAAAATCTGGAGGTCTAATTATCACAGCCATGTCCAGTCTTCCAGACCGTGTCTTTTAAACCTGATTCCCACTTGAGAGGTCACAGCTGAGCCACTACTGTGAGGGTAATATGTTAAAGACTAACCATGGGGATATAAAATGACAAAATACATGTCCTTGTGAGACGCAGGCGTGGAAAGTTAACCTTTGTGAAGTGTGCTCTGACATTTGGCTGTGATATGGGAACTCTCCCTACCTGTAGGTCATCCAATCTAGATAGGAAAGGTTTTTGTTTTTCTTCACTGGGAGGGTGGTTTTTTCAGTGTGAAGCCCAGGGGGCATTTTTAGGGAAACTGCCTCAGAATATCCTTAAATTGATAGAGGTATAAACACTCACAGCAACTCAGAAAGTGGTCATGGAATTCACGGCCTACGATGGGACCCTAGTGGTGTCTTTCTAGGTAGGAGGAACAAAGAGTGGCTGTGTACGGAAGATACTGGCAAGAAGAAGATCCCTCAATGGTAAATAATGAGGAAAACCCCAGGGTGAAAACCAGGTGATGTAGGTTCCTCTCTGCGTGCTGAGCTACTGTGTGTTCTTAGGCAAGTCACCTGACTTCTCTGGGTCCTATTTATATTCTCCTTTGTGAAAAGTGAAGCTGTCAAAAAAGATGAGTCCTAAGATGCCTTCAGCTCTTAAAAGTCTGTTTCTAATGTGTGTCTCTATTAACACTATCAGTCACTTCCTGCCTGACAGTAGAACATCCCAGATCCAGTTCTGAATTTTGATATGTAAAAGTTAAGAATCACTAATGGAATATCTATGTAGTGAGAAAAATTTTAGGAAAAATGATCTCTATCTGTTACCTCTGCTAGTGAGAGCAGGCAGAGCAGACCTAGAACAAACAAGATATAGAAGTGAGAGTAAAGGCACACTTCACACACAAATTCCTTTATGCTCATTTATACATTAATTCACCCGCTTCCAGACTCACTGCTCCAGGAACCCTAGGGCCAGGATGGATGGAAAGAGAAACTTTTGGGGCACCTTGGAGGGAGCTACCCATTCAGGGATTGATGACGGGCCCAGGTTGGCCAAATGGTAATTGAGAATTAGATTGGGTGACATTAGCCCTGTCTACTGGAACTTTCTGCAGTGACTGAAGTGTTAAGGAACATTTGCATCTTCTCTGTTCAGCCAAGTAGCCGTCAACCATATGTAGGCAGGGAGCACATGAAATGTGGTAGTGTGGCTGAAGATCTGAATTTTAACTTCCATTTCATTTTAATGGATTTACATGTAAATAGCTAACAGCTACCATATTGGACAATGGAGCTCTAGGCCAAAATTCAGTACATTTAAAACACTGCTTTGTTCTGGCCATCACGTATTTAACAATGCCATTCTGGCCACTCATCTCTTAAGAGAGGTTCATCAAGCAAAAGCCTGATTTGACATAAATAGGAACCCAGGGCACACAGCTCTCATGGGAATGCCCCCACAAGCCCCGGGGATGCTCTTGGTTGTGGTGAGTAAAATTTCCCTTCGTGCTTTTGCATTCAGGGTAGGGGGATTTTAACTGTGACTCACTCTTTGTTGAATGATTAAGAACGGAGCCTCTTCAACACTTGCCACCTCTCACCTCTGTGATGAAGTTGAAAGGTGCCTGGCACTCTCTTGGTGGCGTAAGGGAGGCTGCTGGCTGATCTCAGTAACAGGAGAGAGACGCCCCTGGTCTTCAATATTTTAAAGCAAGGGAACCCTTTTCTCATTTTTAAAAATGAAATCTTATGCAGAAGGTAATATAAAGCGGGTGAGGGGCTCCTGGGTGGCTCAGTCGGTTAAGCATCCAGCTCTTGATTTCGGCTCAGGTCATGATCTCAGGGTTGTGTGATCAAGCATGGAGTCTGCCTAAGATTCTCTCTCCCCATCCCCCTCTGCCCCTTTCCCCCCCTACCAAAAAAAAAAAAAAAAAAGAAAAGAAAAAAACAGGTTAAAGTGTAGCTGCTCAAATCCTGAAGTCATATTCACTTTTGTCCCGCCCACTGTTTTTCAAGTTATCCCTTAAGGGACCTCTGGGGCACCACTGGTATTCTTGGGCAGGTGGCATAGTTTCTAAGCCTCTCAAGGCCTTTGGGTCTGTTAGGGCTAAGCAATCATAAGTCACATGATATGCCATATTAAAAAAATAAAAGGAAAGGAAGATTTAAAAAGCACAGCCCAAATTATGGCCACTTACCCAGCAGCAGATGGGATGCTTCCCACACAGTCTTTTCAGCAGACAGCCGTGTTCTGCAGTGAGATCTGAGAGTCACTGTTATGCCATTTCCCAAAGAGAACAAAGGCTTTTGGCTTAGGGGCATGGGGAGGATGAAGGCTGGAAGGTGCTATGGGGGATGGGCCCCCGGGACAGCATACACACCGCTTTGAAGACTGGGGGAAGGGGCGGGGGCGGGAGGCTTGGAGCCACAACAGTGGGATTCTGAGTGGTGTGAAAATCAGAGCTCTGAGACGGAAACAGCCCTCCAAGATGGAGGTCTCAGGCCCAGCACTTCCTCTC